TGGTTTCTCTATGCCATCAGAAAATATGTAGGAAAGAACTGTACCCACTCCATTAAGTAAGCCTTGTAAAATACCTCAGTAGTAGGTAAGTATTATTATCCCTAATTTACTAGGGATAAACTCAGACACAGAAAGGTTATGTGTCCTGACCAAAATCGTGCAACAAGGCTGGGGCAAAGCTACTGAGAATAGAGCAGAAGTGGGAAGAATTTAGATTATTAGTATTAATGTTATTTGTTTTGCCTCAGTTTTTATGGTCATTGTAAAAAAAGAAAATCCTTAGGAGGGATTTGAATATGAAAATTACATAATTATATGTGTGTAATAATAAATACATGGATATATGTAAAATGTAATTATGTAATCAAACGCAATTTATGTTGATTCTTGATTATATTATATATAATCTTTAGTCATAATAAAATTAATAACACTGGTCACACACACGTTTTTTTTCTCCAGAGCATCAAGGATTTCACCCCCTCAAACTGTGGTGTGTCGCTAGCAGCCTTGGTTAGTCAAAAAGTCCTGAAGTAGCCTCTTCTTGCCAATCTGTACAGCTGCATTGCTGCTTTCAATTTGCTGCAAAACAGACAAGGAAATCTTGGCCTTAAGAAACTGCTGCCAAGAAGGAGGGGGAAAAGGAGTAAAATGTAAGGGAAATCACTGTTAAGAATGCATCACATGCATTTGAGAATATTAGGAAATATGTATATTGATATAATATATATTCCTTCTAGTTACAGTTAATCTGTTATTACTTCCTGTACAATACATATGTGTGGATGGGCCTTGCAAATGTTCACTACACAATTGAGAAGGGAAATGTAACCACTTAAAAAGTTCTCTGCAATTATAGGTGTCTGTTAAAACAGGAGGATTTAGTCAAAACAAAACAAAGCAAAGCACCTCATTAACCACAAGCTACCTGCTGAGAGATTGAATACCTAAAGATCCTCTTGGAAGACTCATGAATGCAGCTTTGAATGGCTGAAGTCTCAGTTCCTTGGGGTTGCACTGTACGTTGAGGTGGGGGAGAAGAATGGAGGAGGAAGCATGTAATCCTATCAAACTTTGCTCCTTTGCAAATTCTGACATTTCACACATTTTTTCTCCTCCTTCAAAAAGTCAAAATCCAAAGGTGCAATTTCTGACAGATAATAGAGGGCAGGGACTGCCTGTAAAATGGGGATCATAGTACTTCACAGGCATAATCTGAGGAATAATATTTTAAAGGATTGTAAAATGATCAGATGCTATGGTAATGGGGGTCATATAAGTACCTAAGATAAAAAAGTAATAAGCACCTGGTCTCGCATTTATGCTTCTATCCCTACACATTCCTGTTCAATGAGAAACTCTAATTTATACTAAATACAAAAACTCTGAATCAGATCCTGACCTAATGTAAATTGCTATGGCTCCACTGTAGTCAGTCTGGTCCTTAGTTTCAAAAGCCACATAAAGTTGCTAAGGACTTGTCAACATAGTGCAGCAATGTGCACCGATGGATTGCAAACTGAGTCATGCAAACCCTACTGGCACCCACAAAAAGTTCTCTGGTGTGCGTTTAGTGGATGCCAGCAGGCTCTATGTGGGTCAGTTAGTGCACTTCATATTGGTACACATTAAAATTCACACCACTCTGGTGTGTATTGGCGCAATATGTAGACAAGTCCAAAATGACAATGGTTTGCATTATTTACACTATCAAAGAACTCCATAGGAAGGAAATTAAAAATCTTACATTGTCCACACTGGGTCTGATTCTCCCTAACTGTACATATTGTGTGGTCATTTGCATCCATTTACAGTGAATGCAAAGTGAGTGTACAATATTAAAATTCTGATCTGTTAAGGTTTTATACCAATTTACCACAAGCTCTAAGTGACTACCTGAGGCAGAGGGCAGCAGAAAGCCAAACGCCTTATTCTTACTCTGCCCTATTTTATCACTATTTATTATTGTTTGAAATCTTAACTTTGTTATGTAAATTATTTCTTTTAAAGGATACATATATATATTTAGATAGTAAATATTATCAGTTAATACATTAGTTGATTGACAGTAGAATTTTTGTAATATGATTGTTATTACTGTTTCTTATTAATAATATTGCATGTTTGAATTTTAATAAGAAATGTTTATTAGAGTTTTGATTTAAGGAAAAATTAAATTTGCATATGGACTTGCATTGAGGCTTATCAGTGTAGTGTTGGCAGGTATATTTTATTTACATATATTTCTTATTCAAAAAGGTTTTTGTGTTGCATTTATATTTTAAGATTATGGATAAAAGAATGGGCTAATGTTTTCAAAAGTGACTAGTGATTTTGCATGCTCCAGATTGGAAATAGCTAGATAAAGAAAACAGATTTTATTTTAAAATGTGTTTGCAAATATATTTTAACTAACATGATTTTAAACAGGACTTTGCAACTCGCATACACAGGGCAAATCATATTTAAAAACATATGACATGACTTGTCCTGTCTATAATATGCATAAAATTCTGCCCATCTTTAAGTCAATGGGTGTTTTGGCATTTTCTTGTATGGACCCCTATACGCAAACTCCAGTTCAAAATTGTTTTAGTTAAAATATGTTAGGTTGTGTTTTAAAACACATTAGCTATTTGCCTACATTAGACATGGAAAAAGAGGCCTGATTTTTCAGAAGATGAGTGTTCAGCACCACATCCCTATCAGGTGTCTAAGTTGGACACTCAGAAATAATAACATGGTTATACTGGTGAGAGGCAAAGTAGTATCATGAATCAGAAACTGGATAAAAGATAGAAAATATTAGTGAAAAAGGTCAATTTTCATCATGGCTAAAAGTTAACAATCCAGTGCCACAAGATTCCCTATTACATGCTATAAGGATATGGAAATCAGAGTGAGCAATGAGGTGGCAAACTGCGCAGATAATTCAAAATTATTTAAGTTAATCAAGACCAAAGAAAAATGTCAGGAATTTCAGAGAGCTCTAATTGAGGCAGGTGAATAAACAACACAAGAGTTGATGAAATTCTATTTCTCTTTATTGAGAGAGACAAGGTGGGTGAAGTAATATCTTTTATTGGACCAACTTCTGTTGGTGGAAGGGACAAGCTTTTGAGCTTGATGGTGCTCTTCCTCAGGTCTGAAGAAGGTAACCAGAGTGTCCAAGCTAAATACAAGATAGATCAGATTGTTAAGCATGTTCATATCCTGGGATCCCCATGGCTATATCAATACTGCAAACATTACTTCTTCTTATTTTAAATGTTTTTGTTTTGTAAATTAAGTGGTAAGTAATCTTGCTATCTAAGTAAACTTTGTCATCTGAAGTGGTTTTTGTGTTTTGGAATTTTCTCAGCCCCCGCCCCCATTTTATTTTTTTTAACTGTCAAAGTAAATAAAGATACAATTTTTAAAATGCTACATAAATCAGATCCACTGGAAACTCTTACGGGGAAGTATTGTATCTTCCTATGTATTCGTACAATGCCTTGCAGAATTCAGCCTTGAACTTGGTTGGGCCTTTGGGCACTTCAACAATACAAATAAATTAACAGTAATAATAATGATTATTAACTGCAGTTAAATCAATTGTGTGCAATTAAATAATAATATCTTTCTTCAAATCCTTGCTTAAAACTCTTCTCTAGTGTGATGCCTAAAAAACCTCTAAAATGGTCAGACATCTGGTTTCCAATGAGTAGTGCTTTTCACAGTTAGCATTACGGTATTTCCTTTTGCTCCCTTTGTCTGTTTGTTGTATCCACCTGTAGTCTACAGCCTTACACAATGGATTTATGAATGCTCAATTTAATGCATTGTGAACAGTCAGTGGGACTATTCACGCTGTGTAAAGTTAATCAAGCCTGTGAATCTTTGCAGGATCAAGGCCATAGATGATAAAACCTTCAGGGCAGGGATTGTCTCTTTGTTACATGTCTGTACACTGCCTAGCACAAAGGGGCCCTGGCCGCTAGGTGCTTGTGCAATACAATTTTTTAATGTTAATATTAATAACAATATAAAGAAGGGGGTCAGTCACCTGTTTATCACATTAAATGAAGGAACATGGCTAGCTAAACTAAAAATAGTCAGCTAACATCCATTTTCTTATAAAAAGTTTGAAATTGTTGTGGAAATAAACGGTCAGTGACAATGCACTCTCTACAAGCAATAAAACAGCCCAGTACGTGTGTAAAGGGTGTGTAGATGGCACTTTTGTGAAAGCAATGTATTGCCCCGATATTTTTTTCTTTAACCTCTGAAAGAATTCAGGGACAAAACAGACTATATTCCCCATCCATTTTAATGTTCAGTGATGGACAACTGTGTGTAGTATTTGATCATTTCTTTAAGATGAAAGAAAAATTGAGTGTACAGAAGGTCTGAAAAGGTGATGTTCAAAACCAAAAAACCCTCTTTTACGTTAATCCTTGTCTTCCCTGTTTCTTTTCCTCTGCCCCCTCTCTAGGTATGCTCCTCAGTACCCTCCCTTTTTTGCTCCTTTCCACTCTTTCCCCGTGCACTTACCTGCTCCCTCCTCCTAAATTTTTGCTCTTCCCCATACATTTTTGCACCACTCTCTGTTGTGATTTTTGTCCCCTGCGTTTGTCCTCCTCGTTTTTGTTGGTCTTTCCATGATTGCCCCTCTCTTCTCGCTCCCCAGTGTGGTAGCCCGCCAGCTTCCCCTCCTCAATCTTTTTGCTCCTCTTTCCCCCTTTTTTTGTCCTTCCCTCTGTTTTACTGATCTCGTCACTCTGTTTTCGCTCCTCCACTCTCCCTTCCCCGTTTTATCTCCCTTTCTGAGTCGCCCCCTCCCGCCCTTTGTTCGTTTCCTCTCCCCTGTCCCCTGCCCCCTGCCCCCACACGCGGTTTTGCTCAGGGATCCGATCTCTGATGGCAGGTGAGAGCAGAAGCCAGAGCCGCGGCCTCGCTGTTGTGAATGCGCATGCTCTTATCTCTCGGCGAGCACAATCTGACACTCCGTCGGCTCAGGGAACGGGCAGCGCGTGCGCAGGCAGCTCCATCCAGCAAGGGAAGCTTGAATTTCTCTGGGATTCCCGATCTGCAGTGCAGAGCAAAGCGGAGGATCGTGTGGAAGCAGCTGCTGGGCTCGCAGGCGCGCTCTAAAGGGGATTTAAGCCGCAGAGAGAGCGGGAGAGGCAGGGACCGATTCACCATTGATCTGAATTAAATACTTCTCTCTCTCTAAAAAATCTGCCCTTTTGAGTTTTATCCTTTGCATCAGGTGACAGCACATAACGCAAACTGTAAGTGTTCCCTTTGCTCTTGGATGATAATTTAGGGTTCATGATGGGGTTGGAATTTCTTGCACCGATGTATCTTCTGCATGGATGCGGTGACTTGCATGGTTACAATAATGTGCTGTTGGCTTTGCATTATTCTGCTGTTTGCTAGCAATAAAGGATGAGGGGGCGAACATCTCGTGATGGAGACAAGAGAAAGTGAATTGTGAGGTGTTTGCCTGCACGATATTTAAGGATTAGGATTACTTTTTAAAGTCCGCTAGGGGTTTGACAGTAGGGGGAGGGGGAGTATAACTACATACGATTTCTAAATCTATAAATAGAAACCTTTCCCTACATACATACATATATACATCCCTAGATGCAGATGGCGAAGTTGTTCTGTTTCTGATAGAAGTGGGGGATAAAATGAGAGGGCTGTAAAGTGTCAAACTGTCTGACATCCTGTCGGTGCAATTTCTTTTACCCCGGAAAAGTGGCATAAGTGTCTGCTAGTGAAAGTGGGTGAACAGGATAGGATGGAAATAGAAGGAGGCTTTTGTGCCATATGTTAGTACTTAAAAGCTTAAAGCAATATGGTTCTTTCTGCCTCTTTTTAGCGCTTACAAATAATCGTAACGAGCAAAGTTGTGTAACATTGTTTTACCTTTTGTTAATACTTTCTGTGCGTTGTTGTTTTTATTGACCAAAGGGAGCGAATTTGTGTCCACAGCAATCTGCCTTGACCTGTTTTAAAATGAGAGACTGCCTGCTATATTGATTATGATATAAATACTAACAACATCAAAAGCAGACATTGATCGCTCGCTTAATAATTTGTGTTTGGGCATGTTTTGCTGATAGCCGGAAGCCTTTGACATTTCTAATCACTTGAAAAGCAATAGAGAAAAGGTTATTATGTTTTCCAGTGCAAACAGACCATGCGAAAATTAAGAGGAAGATCAGTCGTCCCTGCAAGGTCATCAAACCCATTGTGAAGAGCAAATTACTAGAGATCCTTGCGATTACTTTCTTGATAGACTTGGTTTGTGTGACAGATGTTTCTTTTAAGTGGTCCGTCCACCCTTTTGTGCATCTGCAAGATATTTTCAGGAATAAGCTTTGGAATAAGCGCGCTCATCTCACTTCTCTGATGTGGTAAACTGCACGGTGGATGTGCTGCGTTCCTGTTTACTTGGGAATAGGACGAGGTGAAAATGGAGGTGGGTGGAGATAACAAAAGCAATCCAAGTCATTTCCCACAGGAAGGAAGGCGTGAGAAGAAGGAGGGAGAGGAGACGAAAGGAGAATTTCATTTCCAGAGATCAAAACAAAGGAGAGGCAAGTTGAGGCAGATCGGCAGAACTCGTGTGGGAATCGAGGCGTTTTGCTCGGTGACCCAACCAGTCAAGAAAGAAGGTTTCATAAAAGCTGCTGTCGCTGACTGCTGTGTTCTGTGTTATTAAGAAATCTAGCATGTTTTATAGCTAAGGGACGGTGGACAGGTCAGTCTCTACGGGAATTTAGGCTGGATGTCTCAGCGCAGGTAGTACAAACAAGGAAGAAAGGTAAGGGCAGCAAAAGTGAAGTTTAAGAATAAAACGTTTTAAAATAACGAGTTAGAGAGCTAAGAGGAAACATATACGGGGGGTGGGTGTACCTCAAAAGTGGGACCTTCCCTTCTCCCCTCCTTCCATCCCTCCCAGGTATTTGGCCAACCTATAAGAGGCAGATTCCTGAAATTGCAAAGGGAGTTTGTCAGCACATGAACGATTGTGTGTGCTTAGTACAGTTGTGTTTTTTTAAATTGTGTCTCATTCTGCTCAGAAGGGTCATGCATAAGCTGAAATATCCAGAATAATGGGATACAGGGGACAGTTTGGTAGAAAGAAGGGGGAAGACTTTGAACACTTCTGGAGGAAACTCCACATTGCGTAACAACAGCGGTTTAGAGCGAGATCCCTCCTCCCTCAGTATCTTAAGATGCTGCTAGAAATACATGCCAGTCCTTCCCTAGCGTTTCTCCCCCCCAACTCCTTTCTACACACACACGACCCCCCTGCACCTCTCACTAAAACCCAACAAGCCCCTCTACACCAACTTTACCTTTCCCTTTATTGCCTCTGCGCATACCAGATCCTTCTGCATACCCCTCCTCCATTCTGCAGGTACCCGATCTCCCTGCAACCTCCTCTGTGCACCCACCAGACCACCCGCCTCCCTTCACCAGAACCCAGCAGCTCACTCTTCGCACCTACCAGCCTCCCCCGCCCTTTACCTCCTCTCCGCATACTGGATCTCCACTGCAGCTCCTTGCGCACGTTTTCCTTGCAGCTCCCTCTTTTCTCTTACCTGATCCCCCCTGCAGTCCCCTCTCTCTATACATCGGACCCCCCTCCCCACCGCAGTAGTCCCCTCTGCACAGACTAGATCCCCGCGCCTCCCTCTTTGCACACAACAGATCCTCTTGCAACCTCGTTCTCTGCATACAGCAGAGCCCTCTGCAGCCTTCTCTCTGCACACACGGGGCCATTGGCCGGGGCCCCGCTCTGCACATACCAGATCCTCCCGCACCTTCTGGATCTGCAGGAATTAGACCCTCCGGGCCGTTCTCTGCACCCTGCAGATTCCTCGCCGTTCCCTCCTCTGCCTCCTACCCCACAAACACGAGCCATTGCTCGTCTCCCGTTACCGACTGCGCTTCCCTGCTTTGTCGCTGCGCCTCACAGCCCATTGACTCATAAGCTGTTGGAGATGTGGCCCTGCGGAACGTGGTCCTGAGTGCAGGAGGCGGAGGTGCCCCATGCGCCTTTCTGTTTCCCGGCGATGCGGGGCTGGGGGCCGGTGCGTGAGGATCATGGTGGGGCGCACCCTAACGTTATGTAGCTGCACTGAATCCGCGGCGGTAATTGGCACGGCGGGGGGAGGCCCTAAACCGATCCCGCTGGGGTCCTCCTCCAGGCGGGCGCTCTCCCCAGCCCCCTGCGGAGTGGGAGGATTTTTGCCTGCCGAGGGGCACCGCATGCTGAGCAGCCTGCTTCCGACTCATCAAAGTCTGTTGAAAGTCAGACCCTGGGGGGCACCTGAAAACAGCCCCAGCTGGGTATGTTTTGTGGGGTTGTGGAAAGCGACCTTCCTTTTACGGCTGCCTTCGAGCTGTCAGTCCCCCACTGCAAAAATCTTCTCCCCTCTCGAAGGTGGCCTCAAGCTCCCATCTGCTATCGAGAGATAATTTAAAGGTATCGATTTCAGAATTAATTTAGAATCTAAAGATTTTGTAGTAAGGCTATTGGAGGAATTAGGGGGATCCGGATATGCAAATTTTTTTAATGAAGAGGAAACCTTTTAGATAACAGTATGACATTTTTAAGGGGGCCAGTGTCCAAAGAGCTACCCATTTTTAATTACAAATGAAACATGATTATTTTCAGGCTTGTGACATGGTGAGTTAGTGAAATATTGAATCAATGTATGAATGCTATGCTGTTGCAAAGATGTTCATGTAACAGATATATTCAAAGATAGAGGCCCTTTCCTAATGATTTCAGTAGCCACAGTGGTAACATTTTATAGCAAACATTTTTGCGGATCTGAATTCTGCTCTTGTATTAAATTGCTGAGCTAGAAGAATCATCAGTGGCCATTTATACATAAGACTAAGTAGTAAAAGCAATGCATTTATTAGGCAGAATACACAACAAAATCTAGACAAACCAGGGCAACAGAAAGGTGTGAAAACAACCTTGATCTTCGTAAAATTTATTCTTATCAGCCCCTTCAAAATATATTGTTTACACAGCCGTTTGTTTCTATGGCAAGCTCTCAGATGTATACAGCTATTCATACTATGGCTTCTTTGACAGTATGTGTTTGTAAAGAATACAGTTTAGCAATATCAGTTCCATTGAAAAGCCTTCTGCATTATCCATTTTAAGTTTTGGGGACCGAGTTAATTCATACTTTTATTACTTTTCTCCTTCCATTCACAGCTCTCCCAATAAATAAATAAATTTATAAAGTAGTCTGAGTTGCTGTCACTGTTAAGAAAAAAAATTAAAAATGTCTTTAATTTTCATTATACAATACTCACCTTTTAAAAAAGGCGTGCTCCTGCTCCCATTGAATTCAAATGGGAGTTCTGCTATAGACTTCAGCAGGAGCAGGACTGTGAATATAATTCTTGTTTTGAATGGTCTTAGCTTTTAAACATATACAGCTGCATGCCTTGACATATAACTACACCTGTCATTTTTTACCTTTGTTTTTTAGAAGTAGTCTGTGTATGTGTGTGTCTGGGGGGAAGGGAGTATTGAGGTAAACCAAGTAGATTTTGGCTGCTTGGATTTTGTTTGTGCAGATGTAAGTCAGTATACATAGATCCCACATATGCGTCAAAAATATATTTAATGAATGGAATAGCTAATCATAGAATAAACACCAAAATGTCTTCACACTTTACTAGTACGTTGCTTATAAATCTATTAAGATGTTCTCTAGTTTGATAAGCAGATTCAAAGCCTGGGACTGTGGTAATTTGTCATGGTACTTAGCCTTTTCGGTGTTTAGTTTGTCACAGTGTTACATAACCGTAGTACTGTAAAAGCAAATGTCAGAAACGTTTTCATTCCCTCTCCCCACCCCCAATCTGTTTGTGTAAATCTATGAAGAAAAAAAGGCACAACTTGACATCTTCCTGTTTATATAATACAAACAAGATGTCAAATCTTGCCCTGGCCAGAGCTGCAAGACAAGTTGCCTAGGTGGGTGGGTACAGTGTAAGAAAGACAGTAGCAGATGAGTTTGCTGCTGTTGGAATCCTGGTGGCCAGGGTAGAATTCCTATGGATAGGCATGATAGGGGAATCACCACAGGGCTCACTTTGGTTGCTGAAATGAGTTGGAAGTGCCCCAGGATACAACATCCTGCATCTGTAGCATATATACTAGCTGGCTGTAGGACTATATGTGCCTTGTAGCTAGCAGACCATATCCTCTTGAGGGCCTGGTGTGTAGTCTGCATCACCT